GATTGGTAGGTATGGTTTCCAGTGTCCCCTCTGGCGGTTCCTGTCAGGTTCTCTTTAGCACTGGAGTCAGTTCCAATCTACCCATTAAGCTCCTCCTACCCATCAAAGGCTCCACCCCCTGCCCTGCCCTTAGACCAGGAGACTATGTATTTGTTAGAACAAGAATCAAAATACTCAAAGGCGATATTTATTTACCAGGTGTCATTATGGCACTCCCAGAAAATCCCCGAGTAGGCGGAGCGCTATTCTCGGCTTCCATTTTTGGCGGTCGGATTGTGACATGTTCTCGTAGTTCCCTCGTTAAAATTGGGCGTGTCCGATACCGAGAGGCGTGTGACTGCCTCATTAATTGGCTAAAGAAAAGAGAAAAACTCGACTACAGGGACATGGGGCCAACCACATCAACACCAAATAAGGAAATGATACATGTATTGCCACGGGAACTACCTAGCAACTTATCTAGCTCAGATGAGAGTATTCCAATTAATGCCCATTCACCGGATGGCTCCAAACCTCTCTCTCCTCTTTCCCCTGGACCGGAGGATGTTCCCTCGGATGCTCCTTCATATCACGGGCCAGTGACTATTGAAAGAGGCACATCCCCTATACCACTGAACGAGTCAAGGGGACTTGTTGATAAAGAAACATGTACTTCACTGCAGTCATTAATAATACACAATGAAGAGGAGGGAGAGGGAGAAGGAGAAGGAGAAGGAGAGGGAGAAGGAGAGAGAGAAGGAGAGGGAGATAAAGAAGATAAAGAAGTCCCAGCTCCAGAAGAGGGTGTGGATAAGTCTGGTGATCTCACTATTGGGATGCTGGACTCAACTCAAGATGGCAACACTCTTTCCAAGTTAGCTCAAGATGAGGAGGAGCAGGTCTTGGCTAGATGGATGGATGATGGATGGTATTACAGAAGTAAGGATTCTCTCAATCCTTTTTATCATTACTTGCCTGACTCCAATACTGTGTAGCTCAAAATTGTTATCAGTCAGAATTTTTGTTCGATAAAATTATCTAGTATGCAGAATAGATACAATTTTAAAGGTTTTAATGTAATTTTTGGCTGACGATTTGGAGCTATTAAATACTTGTTTGACTGGTTTTTTCAACAGGTATTGTGGTGAGTAAGGGGGAGGAGTCTTGGACTGTTTGTGATGCTAACGGAGATGAGGAGACATGCCCTCGTGATGACATCATCACTGATCATGATGATGC